CATACGCACACACAGACACACACAGACTCACACAGACACACACAGGCACACACAGACAAACACACACAGACACACAGACACACACACAGACACACACACACGAACACACAGACACGCAGACACACAAACACACACAAACACACACACAAACACACACACAAACACACACACACAAACACACAACCACACATACACAAACACACACACACATACACAAACACACAAACACACGAACCATAAACACACAAACAGCACGAACAACACACACCACACACACACACAACGCACACAACACACCACGCACACCACACACCACACAACACAACACACGACACGACACAACACAACACACACAACACAACACAACACAACAACACACACAGCACGACACACACAACACACCACACACAGCACAACACATACACACACCACACACAACACACACACAACAACCACAACACACACAACACACAACACACACACAACACACACACACACGCACGCACGCACGCACGCGCGCGCGCACGCACGCATCGCACCGCACCGCACCGCACTGCACCGCACCGCACCGCACCACACACACCACACACACCACACACACACCTCTCACACACACCACACACACACACACGCGCACGCACACACGCGTACACACAAACACACACAGACACGCACGCACGCACACACACACACGCACACACAAACACACACACACAACACACACATACACACATTCACACACATTCGCACACATTCGCACACATTCACAACCATTCACACACATTCACAATCATTCACACACATCCACACATAAACGCACACTCACACACACACGCACGCACACACACACACACATACGCACGTACGCACACACACGCACACATGCACAGACATATCCACACACACACACACCACGCACACACGCAGGCACGCACACACGCACACACACACACACACACACGCACACGAAAAAAACAAGCACACACACATTCACACACATTCACACACATTCACACACATATTCTCACACATGCTTACACCCTCACACACAATCACACACATTCACGCACACAGACACACACAGACACACAGACAAACAGACACACCGACACACAAAGACACACACCGAGACACACAGAGACACACAAAGACACACAGAGACACACAGAGACACACAGACACACAGACACACGCACACACGCACACACGCACACACACACGCACACGCACGCACACGGCGTGTACTGTGATGTGCTGTGATGTGATGTGCAATGCTTTGGTGTGATGTGATGTGATGTGCGGTGTTGTGCTGTGTCGTGCTGTCGTGTGTCGTGATGTGCTGTGTTGTGCTGTGATGTGCTGCCACACGCACGCACACACGCGGCCGCGCTGCGTTGTGCTGCGCTGTGATGTGTAGCGGTGTGGCATCTGGAGCCACCAGTTCCGTGTCGGAAGCGCTGGCCCCGGCCCACGAGTAGTCCCTCCTCTCCGCTTCTCTTCTCTGGCCCTGCTTCCTGCCCTCTTCGTGGCCCCCCTTGCCCTCCTCCCTCTTTTGGCCCAAACACGCTCTCTCACCCACCCGCGTTCCCGCATGCTACCGTGAGCCTTGTGCGGAGTCGCGCGGTGAAAGTGCGTCTCATCACGCCGCCCGGAACCGACTGACACCCACCCTCGCCGAGACAGCGCGCACACAGCACGAACTGCCAAGTAGCGCTTGACCTGCAGCACCGTGGGTGTCTTGCGTCGCGTGCGTTTGTGCAAAAGGCTGGGTCCACCAAAGCGGGGATGGAGCCGGTCCTGGCGGTTGAACAGCGTGCGGGTTGTATTTTGGTGTTGGGTGTTGGTGTTGTGTATTTTGGGTGTTGGGTGCGGACCGTGCCCCACCCCCGTACTTCCCCCTCACCCACCGCCGCCTGCATTGTTTGTTTGCCTTGGCGCGCGGCTTGGGCTGAGAAAATGAGAAAATACGGCGTCCCG